CTCTGAGGTAGTGAACGCACTAAAAAGTACCCTGGAATTGCTATATTCCCTTTGGGACAGAAACCTTCGATTCGTACACTTATTTTATCCTATTTATATTACCCCTGATTATTATATAACACCAAGAGCTTCGTTTCTTAATATGGAGTACACTCATTTGTTTAACTCCCAGCTTCCTTTATAAACACCAGGACTTTTGGAGATATTTACAGATATAAGTGCTGTTACGTACGGCTTTGACATTTATTAAAATTTAATTATAATCGCGTTTATTAATATTTTTATAAATATGCAAATTAGTATAGGATAGCCTATTGTTATCGCCTCGAATAGGGGTTGGCGATTGCTATATCGCTTGTATTATGGTTATTATAATAAATAATAGATATAAATGGCGCTAAAATTTTGTTATTTGTATTATCGTTATATATATTATAGTAATTAATGGCTTTCGTCTTTTTTTACCGCCTTTTATTTTTAAGCCGTAATAATCCCGGCGCTTTTATATAGGATCGGCTTTTATATCTCGTCCAATTTTACTAGATTCTTCCAGGTCTTATCTTATTATAATAGTAATCCTTATTAGTGCTAATCGTTACTTTTAACGTATTAATTATAAATATAATTAAATTAAAATAATAAGTTTTATATTGTTTTATGGTTTTGTTAAAAATTTTAAAATAGGGTGCAAAATATTAAATTAGAGGTCTTAGGGGCTTTGTAGTTAACCTGGGGTATTAAATATATCCTTATATATAGCACGGAGGAATTTGTTTAATATATTGGCTATTTTTAAAATAATGCTATTTCTTAAGGCGATGCTTAGCTGCTATATCCTTTTACCTTAAAATAAAATACTTAAAGCGCTAGGAAATTATTTAAGCATTAATTTATTAATCGGTATAAAATAAATATAATGTTACGAAAATACCGCTATAATTAGCGTTGCCCTAACGGGATTATATACGGTGCCATTTTTAATAAAAAATGGAACCTTAAGCGATACCGCGTCTAATATAATTAAGGTAAAAATCGGCAATAAAGCGCTAGCGCCAATATCTTAGGTACCGCTTCGTTATCTAAAAATGCAGCTCTGGTGCTATTATAAATAGGCCTAGGTATTATAGTCCTTTTTAGGGTTACCTTATTATTAGCTATTATTATTAATATTATAATTTTAGGTATAGCGCCTATTTTATTCGCCGGCTTAGTATACGATAAATTCGAGTATCGCGCGTTTTTTTTAGCTTAATCCTTTTTATTATTATTTCTTTTAAGCTTACTACTAAATATAAATTAAAATAATCCTAAGGCGAAACGGTATTAATTTAAACGTAAACGCTTCGAAAAACCGATACCTAGCTATAAAGTTAAGCTATTAAAATCGGCTTATTAGCAAAAAACAATTAAATGGCTTTCGGACGCTAAAAAACGCTATTTCGAATTATAGATCCGTGCTTTAATAACCTTATAGGGTTTTTTATTTTTCGTCGGCAGCTGCGGTATATATTTTATTTATTTAGTAAATTAAATAAACTTAAAGGCTAACGAGGTCGTTAAGCATTTAAATTAAAGCAATATTTTAATAAATTAATTATATATTTTCGAATTTGATTTTATAGTCCTATTTCCTATCCCGGGAAATGCCTTTTTTATTATTTTGCTAAAAAAACCCGAGCTAATAGCATTTATAATAAAAGTTAATTATTACTAAATTAGTTAATTTTATGCTTTTCTATTTATATATAATATTATTTATTTTTATTAAATATTTAAATATTTAGATTATACGATTACGGTTATAAAAGCAGCCGCGTAATATAAATAATAGCCGTATAGCGGCGTAAAGCTCGATAATTTTTTAAAATACGGCCTGTTTTAGCGTATAAATAGCTTTTATTTTTGCTATAACTAATTTTATATTTTGCCTTTTTATATCGTTTATAAGCCGGTCGCCGTTAATAAGTCGTAAGCCGAATGCTTTAACCGCGCGCGGTTTTTTTAAGTTTATAATTGCTTTATCCCGGCCGCTTACGATAAATATAATCCCTTTTATTTAATATAATACGTAATGCTAACGATATATAAAAAGTATTTAATTTAGGTATAGCTTTATCGTACGTTTAAAGGCTTCGAAAATTTATTACCGCCTCGGCGGCTATGGTTATACCTATTCCCTTTTTTAGAATATAAGCTTTTTATATATTATATCGGTATAAAACAGGCGATTAATATGCGAGTGTATAATCGTATTCCGCTTATACGAAGGAAAGTAAATTATAAGCCGGGCTTTATATATAGTTTGTATTTATCGGATCGTATAAAGGGATTTGCAAAAGTCGTCGATTTATAGGCTTATATTGTTTATTATTATAAAGATTGCAATAATTAAAATAGGCTAGCTAAAGTGCGCCGGATTATAACGCTATAAAAGCAATATATTAATATAAAGGTGGTGCTAGGTTATAATGCTATATAATAAAAATTGGATTAGCTAAACTCGCTAAATTTTAGGTGGGCTTACGTAAAAAAATAAGGTTTGCGATTATAATACGTATTTAGCGTATGCTTAGGCATACAAAAAAATAATATAATTTATTAAATTATAATTTTTATAATAGGCTTATTAAGCGCGTGTAGTTACGCAGTTATGGCCAGATATAGTTTATAAATTAGCTTAAGTAAAAGGAAGCTATTTTTTATATATAAATTCTATCGTAACCTACGTAGGCACCGGATTAATTATATATCCGGTGCCGAAAATCGGGTGCACCCGTAATAATTCTATATTTATAATAATATATATTTTCTGCCTATTACCACTATTTTGCCAAAAGCCGACTCTAATATTTATTGCCTATTATTAAAATAATGCATTAATAAAAACCTTACGAGATAGCTAGAAAAACGAGTGAAATAGCGCAAGACCTGCCTTAAATAGCATAAGACCTGTATAAAACAGTGTTTTTGGAGTCGATTTTTACCTAAAATGGCAGTCATCCCCATTTTTCTGTTAGATAAGGCTGCCCTTCTCTTACGCCTCATCTGCCAAGCAGGCGTGCGTTTCTTGGTGTGTTGTCTGCCTCGGCAGTTGTTTTTTTGCTCCTCCCAAAAGGCCCCAGCTCCTAGTTGGCATCACCTGATCTGATCAATGAGGGTCTCTCCAAACGGCGCGCCTCCTCAAGATCCCTGACATGCCTACGGAGACCTACTACGTGGCGTGCTGAGGAGCATGGAGAGAGATTGTGAGCGGATACTATTGACTGCAAGACCATACTATGTACCTGAGATAAGAGACGATGATGATGGCGTTGGCGATGATTCGTGGCATCGTATTCAGGGACCTTTTGGTTCGTTTTTTTCCCCCTCCCTTGTTCTTCTCATGTTGATATTGTCTTTGTTCAAGATGCCGTAAAGACGGTGACAAGTCAGCTGCAGCTCATGACCGCCAAGACGGCAGTTCCAGCGCAACGGACAAACAAACAAAGAAGAAAATAGTTGCGGAGCTTTGCGCAGCTCCAGAAAGTCCTCGCCGCGCGTCCGGACCATCTCCGCCCACGTTGATTCGGCGGAGGCGCCCACGACGAGTGCATATATAGTGATATACGATATCACGAGATGTATAGTACGTTGATAGATCATAATTGGACTACTGTAACTGCTCAGAAAGGAAAGGGGCGGAGGCGCTCCACTTCCGCCAGCGGAGTTGACTGTGGACACTTGCTTGCCTTGCTTGAAGTGGACATTGAAACCAACGGAGTTGAGAAGCTCGCGTGCGTGTACGTAGTACTGTGTAGGGGCAGGAGGAGGAGAAGCGCTTTCGAGCACCAATGCTGCTGGCGGCAACCGGCACGATGGACGAGGGCGTGGTTTGTTCCACCTACATGCCTCGGGATTCGGTACGATTGGGCATATAGTATCGTACATATCTGGGCAGCAAGGGTTGGCAGCAGCTATCAAATAGAAGGGGTTCCTTTTATTTTTATTTCCCACTTGTTTTCTTTTTTGTGCCCCCACTGAACGGTGTCTGCTGACCATACAGAGAGTGTTTCGTCTACCGACTCTTTTTGTTTTGTGTATCCCGAGGTGTGAAGTAGCGGTATCGTATTGCAGCTTATTGGGTGCAAACTCTTCCCAGAGCTACTTGCTCGACGGTGTGCATGATGTGAGGCATCCGATCGTCTATGGGAGGCACTTTTTGCAGGATCGCAAGGAGCAGCTTTGAGAATAGAAAAAAGTCTGCCGCATCTTGCCGACTGCCCGATCCAATAGGACCGATACTACCGTGTACCTTGCCAATCATGAACGCCAAGTCTGGTTCCTGAAACGGCGCATCATGACAGATGTGGTTAAGATCTGTGTGTTTCTAGCTGTCTAAATGCATTTGCTACGTGGTGATCGTCGTATAAAATTTTTGGATTATCTGTCACAGGTACGAACTATCCGTACTGCACTACTTGACGTTACACGTGTGTATGGATGTTTAACTGATTAAAATGTGGGACCACTATCCCATGCAAGTAAGCAGGGTACGTACCCGCCTCTAAGCAGCACATGTGCACACCATGGTTAGTTAGCGTGGTGGAAACAGGAAATGAACCACTGGAAAGTTGAAGAGGTTCTCCCCCACCGAAGCATTCAGTGCACTGAAAGTCCCGTTCCGAACATAAGTCACGTTTTTGCGCGCCAGTTTCGCATCCGTTTTGGTGGGGCCGCCCCGCGTTACCTGTCTGCTTACCTGAGGTACCTACTATCAAACACAATGCTACTCGCATCCTCCTCTGAACCTCACAGACCACAGGGCAACAGAGCACACGATTTTTGGGACGCTTCCAGAAGAAACACTACGTACCTACTTTTTTTTTCCTTTTCTCTCTGGGGTTGCCCCATCTCGGAATCAATTCCGGATCTATTCTACTTTGAGAGCATTTGACGTTGCTTTCTCTCACCAACTACGGAGTACTCCAGCCACTCGACAGCTCAGCCTCTAGCCATGCAACATGGCTCAGTCCGTCTATGACAGTGACGATGATCCTGACTTGAGGCGTGCGATTGAGCTGTCACTTGCAGCTGATTCTACTACTGGGGCACGGAAAAATGAGACTATTGAGCTGAGCTCTGACGAGTCTGAATCTGATGAGGATCTCAAGCGTGCCATTGCCCTATCGCTCGGACAAGACATAACAGAGGGGGCTAGAAAGTCTGGTCAAGGCGGCACAAGTCAGGACGAAAATAGTAAGCAAGATGAAGAAGACGAAGACGATAGTGATGACGATGACCTCAACAAAACACCGGTTTACCGGCCCAAGAAGAAGATAACGTCGGAGCCTACAACCAAGAGTCTCCCAGTTCAAGAAAAACCAACGCAGGAACAAGACGCACCACAGAGTTCTGCGTCGAGCATATTGGGATTAATGGGCACCAATCGCAAACAGATGGAAGAGGAACGGCTGGCCCGACTCGCCGCAAAAAGAAAGGCCCCAGACACTGAGCAGGAATCGCAGGGCCGAGAGAGCAGGCCACGGGCGGGAGCGGTGCCCGCGGCCTCGACTTCCATGGTAAGCAACACAGGGCCAAGTAAGAAGAGGAATACCAGTGCACACTTGCCTTTTCCCAAGGGTGTTGTCAAGAAGACGTTTGCGAGGGGGTTTTCAAGGACTAGTGATGATATCAAGATCGACGAGATCCTCCAGAAAGAGCACTTGCAACTCGCTGTGCTGAGCTCTTTCCAATGGGACGAGGCATGGCTGAATTCCAAGATCGACTTCAAGAGGACTAATGTGGTTTTGGTTGCCTTTGCAAACAGCGAGGAACAGGTTCGGTCTACCCTCGAGGCAATGGTCAACTCGTGCTAACTCGATGAACATAGCAACATGAGATCACAGAAAACGCCCGTCAATCTTTTGGAGGCACCAAGATCAAGATGTGTTTCCCCCCGATGTCCGGCATTGGAAACATGCATTCAAAATTGCAACTTCTAAAATTCGCCAATTACCTCCGGATCGTCGTACCATCTGGTAATCTGGTGCCCTATGATTGGGGCGAGACTGGTGTTATGGAGAATGTGAGGCTTGCCAGAAAAAAGTCCAGGGACCAACCACGGCACGCCATGATTTGCTGATCGGCTTTGCAGATGGTCTTCATTATAGACCTCCCGCTTCTCAAGGACCCAGATGAGGCCCATGTTCTAACTCCTTTTGGCGAAGAACTTGCTTTCTTCTTGAGGGCCCAGGGACTGGAACAGAGTTTGGTCAAGAGCCTAGAGAAGTATGATTTTTCCGAGACGAAGGGAATTGCTTTCGTCCACACAATGTAGGTACTCATCTTAAATTTCGCCGCCATGCAACTTTCTTTTGACTTTGTACTAACGCATGTAATAGCGGGACGTCGCGCGCTGGAAACGCTGACGATTGGAAGCGGACCGGTGAGTGCAAAAAATGCTTCTCTCAACTTCATGTATCGACATGCGCATATGGCCTGATGTCTCATTGTCATTAAAACGTTCCTTGTTTTTATTCCTCTCAGAATGATGGTGATCTGCTCCTGACCACAACGGCAGGCTATTGCGGTCTCGGACGTGCCATATCAGCACTGGGCCTTGACACGTCGGCTGATGTCGAGCTCGACTACATTGTCTCGTCACTCGGCTCGGTCAACCATGACCTACTGACTGCCATATACTATGCAGCCCAGGGCAATGATGGCCTGAAGGAATACAATGAGAGATCGGCTAGGGGAAAGAGAGCCAAGGCCATCTCCATCAAAGCCGCTCTTGGGAAGATCAACGATCAACTTCGTATCTACTTTCCGTCCCAAGAGACGGTGGAACGTAGCCGCGGAGGCACAGAGGTCAGTGTTGGCGGCGCACTTGAATCATGCATGCACTTGACATGCCCGGCGCTAACGGCTATGTAGTCAGCAGGATCTATCTGCGCCCAGTCTAAATGGTGGAACTCGGATACGTTTCCGCGACAATTAGTTCACGAGAGTCAGAATGTGAGGCCGGGCGTGTTGCTACACAGCAAGATGCTGTTAGCACGGTCCAAGAACTCACCAGGAAAACAGCCCATCGCCTGGGCGTATATCGGATCCGCGAACCTTTCCGAAAGTGCCTGGTAAGCCTCACACAGCCCGCGAACATCATACGTTAATCCACTTGGTTGGCAGAGAATAAACTGATTCGAACTGGCATCAATTTTTAGGGGCCGGCTGACTAGAGACAAGCGGACGGGGAATCCCAAGCTCAACTGTCGCAACTGGGAGTGTGGTGTCGTACTCTCGCCGTCGGCCAGGACCGACAAGCATATTAGCGACAGCCGCGCTGCAGCCAATAATGGCGCTGCCGCGGCACCGGCGGACGACATGTCTGTCTTCCTGGGCAGCATTCCTGTGCCGATCATCTGGCCCAGTGAGGCGTATGGCAGAACCAAGACGAAGAAGCCTTGGCTCTTTCTCGAGTAATTGAGAAAGATTGGCCAAGGCTCCACCAAAGGGGGCGAGTAGGAGGAGGAAGATGCACCACCGTAGGCAGTCGCAATGTTATTCGCAATATCAGCAAAAGTGAGCGCGCCAAGACAATTTTCCGGCATGAATGAATCTATCGCACAAACGTGCGGCTTCTTATTTTTTCTTCTCTCTTTTCAAAGCGGCGCCAATTGGAATGGCAGATCCCCCTAGTGGTTAGGCTAAAGTACCCGAGGTGCTGGACACGAACGGCCATGTTCGCTAGAGAGCGGATGCTGTCCGGGGGTGATAAGCAGAAGACCTTTGCCTACTGCCAAGCGGTGTGCTTTATGGGGAGGTTTTTTTTTTTCCTTCCATCCCTCCCTCTTTCTCATACTATGTATACTATACTAGTACTGCATCTTGCACTACATTAGCAGCATCCAGGGGGTTCAATCTGTGTCTCCACTATAACTGTAGCGTAGTGTCCATGATGGCGACCCCGTTGTCTGTGCGGACATAATGGCCCCTAAGCATACACAGTACATTTTTTTAGATACCTGAACCCTGCCAACCTGCTGCTTTACATAGTACATATGTAGTATGTGCGTGCTAAACAGCGCAGGGGTGAGAGCAACAAAGAAGAAGAAAAAAAAAAAAAAAAGCTTCACGAAAATGGGTTCTTTTGGTAGGGATGATCTATGTATGTGATTATCATAAAGTATGTCTCCATTATACACAGTAGAGTTCAAATGCGCAAAGCTCTGGTATAGTCATTAGTGCTGACGCAAGTAGATTGTTTTACTCAGAGACTGTGAAAATACCAAACATGAGACGGAAGGCAAGGGGGGGCCCAGGGAAATGAGGTGCGAACGCATACCGTGTCAGCGAGTCCACATCAAATACACGGCAGTTCTTTTTGAGAGGGACAGGAACCACCGGTTTGATAAGTGCTATTGTTTCGTTACCGACCAACGGTAACAACAGCACATAGAGCCAGGCGGCGCCCTCCGTTGCCTTGTGAATGTGTGTATATATCATTTTCCCCTTGAGAACTTAGCGGGCTCATGTAATAATAGCCCAGGCTAGGCACTATTGTTACAGATGAGAGTGGTGGGCTTTCCTTCGGCAAGTGAAGTTGAAGAAAAAAAAAACTAAAAAACTCCCATAACAGCTCCTTGGCTCAATGTTGCGAATGAACTTGCATACCCCGACCTTGCCCATCTTGTACAGGTGATCCCACCTATCTCGAAATGTGATCTAGACTCTGGTCGGAATGCGAATCGCCAATGTGGGGTTGCCGTGGTGTCGTCACGATGCCGCGTATACTGTAGCGAGCGACAATTGAAACTGCACGTATTAAGCACTAAGAGAAGAAAAGCAAGTAATGAGAATTTTCTTTTCCTTTGCATTCTCCTGTACTTGCTAGAGAGAAAGAGAGAAGCGAGAGAGGGACAGCACATTTACTGCAACTTGAGAAAAGGAAAAAGAAAGAAGAAGAAGCAAAAACAGAGGGCGATCATCCATCATCCCAAACGTCAGTGGCAGATCCCACACCATTCCTACATGTTTTTTCCTGCCTATTGGACACTTGCAAGGTACCGAGAATTCTCACAACCTCGACCGAAGAAATTTGCAAAGGATGCGATTTTAGAAATGACCGGCAGCGCCAGGCAATTTGCGCATATGCTGACGACCAAAAGGCGATTGATCCTTGTCATGGTTGCCGGAGGCTTTCTTATTGGCCCGTAATATGAGTGGGCACCCAATATCGAATGCCACATTTCGTTCTAGAGCTGTAGACTTCTTGAGAGCTGTCCCCCC